TTCGCAGTTTCTGTATTCAAGCCTTTGGATTTTGCAGACTCTTGGGGTTTTCCCTCGTGCATTTTCATGCTTTCAGCAGGCTTTCCACCTACCTCCCTACCTCTGCACACCCCCGTGATGGACAAGCTACTTTTGTGTGTGACAGTATTTTCAGGACAGCACGTGAATTTGTCCAGGGCTTTTTTATTCCCTGCTTCCCACCCCAAACTGGCAGGGTACCAAGTAGGGAAGACTGGTCTACAAAAGCAGCAGCATTGCTTTTCCCTCTCTCACAAGACACTTACACCAGAAATCCACCTGCTGAAAGCTCTTGGTCATGATCAAATCCCGTCTCCCTTTCAGTTTCTTGGGCTCCACCTCCATGGACTGCAGGTCAGGCCTTCCAGAGCTGGGGAGGGAACAACAGAAGATAACGTTAACCTACCAAGACGCTGGGACTGCACAGGGAGGAGAAGAGGCCCTTAGTCTCCACACCTGCAGCAGAGAAGTGATTCACCTCGCTATCCAACCTGCCAAATGCCAGCATGAGATGGCTTAAGGCTAAAGCCTACAGCAGGTAGTGGCTTCGGGTAGAGCACCTCCACTCAAGGCACACACCTGGCATGTCCCAGGGGAGTGGCAGAGGGACTTGCAGAGGCAGCACCGCTCCGCTGCAGCCTGGGAAATGTGCTTCTCACAGGCAAGGCACCACCCGCAATGCCTGCCGGCACTGCGAGGCATGATGCAAACCAGCAGACATGCCCAGCGCACGAGTAGATGACCACCCCTGTCACACACCTCAAGGCAGGCCTTGTGAGGCAGGGTTTTAGTAACCGTGAGAACTTTAAATATATCCCTCAAAACCAACTTTAAGCTGGGGAGAGGTGGAGAGGAAGGGGTTTGAATCCATTGGAAGGAAGCTGAGCCGCATACCAAGGTTGTCCATACTCCTGGTCCCGGCGCGGAGAGCAGGCTTCTGTTTTTATCGTCACCATCTCCCCTAAGGAAGCCTGGGTCTGGATCAAACAGTCCTTCAAGTTTTCACTCATGTTCTGAAAAAGAATGAAGGAAGGGAGGAAAAATGAGTGTCCCGGAAATCACAGAATTCCTGCCCCAGGCCAGGACAGAGCCAGCAGACCAGGCTCACTCCCAGCACAGAGAGCCACCATCCTGCGCCGGGGCACCTATGTGTGTGGGTAGGTGGAAGCCCCTTCCCACACCAGGAAGAAAAGAGCAGTTCAGTCACAGGTCAGGTGAAGCACATGTGACACCACAGAGCAACCCGAAGCATGGGGAATCTGAAGTATGCTCCCACAGCACCCACAGAAAACACGTGAATGGAATTTAAGACTGATAGGTGGGATGTGTTACAGAAACACAGAGCACCATTACCTCAGAGCAGGTCTTTGGGGACAGAATGCCAAGAAAGAAGAATGCAGGTGGTTGTGGTAACCAGGACCCATCTACAAATATATGTCAGTCTCCACCTGGGGACAGAGTGGGGTATACTACACCCCTGCAGATGGAGCTTTCCATGTCCTCTGGACACCTCTGACAAACAGGTAAGTTCCTACAGCGCCCTGCCAGACTCCACCAAAACTGGACAAGTCATGCTCTGTGTCTTCCTGTCCTTTGCGATGACCCTGAGCTGCCACCATCCTTCTGGGACACAAGCCACTGTAGTGAAAATGTTTCTCCCTCGGGTCAGTGCAAGAGCTGGGAACCACTTAATGATGTCTAAAGACAGCAAGCTCCAAATGTAACGCTTCCTTCCTCCCCACCATCGTGGGACAGTGATGAAGAGAAAATACTGACATGGCCAGTGATGATAATTCGCAGTTGGTTTAATTAATATTTTTGAAAGGGCCACTAAGCTTCAGAGCATCCCAGCTTGAGACAAGGAATAAAGCAGAGTGCTGCTCCTCTCTTCACTGCATTTGTCTCAAGACTTACTCCAAGGCACACAAACCAGCTGCTCTCAGGCACCATACCAGGTTGCACAGACTTCACAGCTGTTCCCCCGAGTCTCCCATGACCCCTTCCATGTCCACTGCCCAATGGCACACTCTGTTACTCTGCATATTCACAGCGCTCAATGGTGGGGTCTCAGCAGCTGGTCAGAGCCCCTCTGTCAGAGGGGTGGTGGAAGAGCCCATCCCCATTGCAACTTGGCTCTGGGCATCCCAACATTTGTGTTCTGAGGCCTGAAAACATGAAGTTTCTTATTCCACACATGCCTGTACAGGACTGAGCACCACGGAAGTCTGCTCTACGTTTGTGCCCTGTTTACAGTCAGAAGGAATGCTATTCCCAGCCCCTCTGACTCCTCTTTGTGACAGGGGACAAATGATTAATTTTTCCAGCCCAACTTCTCACATGCCAATGTGCAGCTTGAAAGACCTTAACTGAGCCTCTATCAAGGAAGCACTAATTAATATTCATATAGTGCTCTGAAAGCAAAGCCTCAACCTAAGTACGACTCGACACATGCACATACACACTCTTTAAGCCTTTACAAGATGCCCAAAACAAGACACATTTTCTTTCAGAATTGACACAGCCATTCAGAATGAAAGGGGTATTAAGTGCAAGGGCGGGCCTCTACTTTGCCAGACTGAGCCCCCGCTCTGCATTCTCCAGGAGAGGGAAGCTTTCCAGACCTGTCCCCGTTCACCAGCCAGTGCTGCAGGCACGGGCTACCTGCCCTTTCCAGAGAAGAAAGAGAGGTCTTTCCTGAAGAGTCCACAGTAAAGCGTCTCAGGAGGAAAAAAGCAGCAGTGTTTATTTTACACACAGAGCTCCTCATTTTACTGTACGGCACATTTTGCAGCCCTCCCCTCTCCCGGTCCTCCTTGAACTCCCTCCAACTTATCAGCAACATTCCTGTGCAGCACTGGATACAGCAATCCTGCGCTGGTGGGAGCAGCACCTTGCACGGAGATAAAACCCTCCCTGCCCTTGCTCAGGATTTCCACCTTTGTGGCCAAGTACCATACGTACTTTCTGGCCCCTGTGCCCAGCTGGGGCTTTGTGTTTGGAAATTGCTGTATGAGCCCTGGCTCCTACAACAGCTCCCAGCTCCTCCACACCGGCCCCCCCCAGTCCTCCTACCTGCTCTGCGACTAGGTGCCTGGTTTCAAGACATTCACACACCCCTTGCTGTCTCACCCAGTGTACGGGCGATCACAACTCCACCACTTACTTGCCTTTTCTCATCACCTGCGACTCACCAAGACTTTGTGCTGTCCACAGACATCATCAAAATCAACTTTGTGCTTTCTTCCACGACACCAACAAACGTGTTGAGTAGCATCAAGCCAAAAAAGACGATTCCCAGCTGACACTACTAGAAATACACTCAATCATCAATGGCCCTCTTTCTGCTGTCACACAGTGACCTTTCATTTAGTCAAGTTTTCATTTATTCAGAGTGCGACACATCGCATCGTTCTAGCTGCTTATTCCAGTGACCTGCAGCACAACACCAGTGCATTCAAGATGCAAGACAACTCCAAGATTTTTACCTTTATCAACCAAAATTATAGCAACATCAGAAAATTACATCTTGGTATTAAAGACCCATTTTCCAAAAATCTGTAACAGATTATTACAATGAACATCCCTTTAATCAAAAGCAATCAAATCGCTATATTACATTAATTTTATATTACATATTATGTTATCATGAAGTCAATGTCAGACAGCAGGTAGCCTAATATCCTAGTTTGCCCAGATTAGACTTGATATTAATTTACTTATTTATGACTAACACAACATTTTTTTTCAGTCTAACTCATTACCTTTTTTTTTTTTTTTAATTAGCATTTATGGCACAGAGAGCGCTGCTCACTCAGCCCTTTTAAAATCCCTGGGTGCAAGTCAGCCAGAACAGCAAACTTACAAGTGTACTGCTGTAGTAGCTGCTGTTTGGTAATTTCCCAAGCTACTGCTACAACAGAGAGCATTACCCTGCTGCTGTAACTGGTAGCATCACCAAGCTTTTCTGCCAGCTGCAGGAAAGAAACATTTAACATTTCTCCACTTCCAGGCATCAGTAGATGACTGCTTCCAGGACTCTTAGTTTCTGATGTATTTAAAGCTGCTTTTAATTTTTCTTAACTTTGCTGTTCACTAGTTTATCTTTCTTCCTCTTTCTCCTCACCCTTTAGTTTTACACAACTCCAGTTCACATTCTATACTTTTCACTCCCTCCACTTCATATTTTTTTTAAGGCAGTTTTTATAGTTGCGTTGGTTCTAACCCTTAAATATGAAGTTGCTCTGAAGATTTCAGGTAACACAGAAAAGCAACATGTAAGTATAAGCACAGCAGGCTCCTGGCTGTATTCCCAGGGGATACTCGGCCTTCCATCAGCATGTCCCTGTGGCCATCAGGACAGTCTGTCCCCCCAATGTCAGCACGCATACAGCCTACTGCCAAGTCCCAGCAGCATCTCAGAGAGCACAATCCCCAGGTGAGACAGATGCCATGAAGATCCAGGTGTGGTTTGCACACATCAGCAAGTCCTCTGGACAGCAAAGGCAGTTGTGGTATGAGGCACAACGCCCCTTGGCAGGCCTAGCTTGGTGGCTGAAATACCAAGAGCTATCCCAGGTTCACAGGCAGTACAACATAACCTCTCCCTTTTTCTTTATGAAGTGGGCAAGGTCCTGTCACATTTCTGCATGACACACATTAAGATCTCCAGTGGCTTTACCATGTTGCTTACAATCAGAGAAATAGTAAACACAAGAACATCTGAGCTGTTAATCCCTAACACAGGGGAAGAATGTCCAAAATGGGGTTAAGCATGAACCAACCTGTGAATTCCTGTCCTCAAGTATTCCACTTTTATCACTGTCCCTCTTGTAGTTATTAGTTAACAGCCACAGGCTCTTATCTGCATGGATCGGCCTCCAAAACAGAGCTTTAATTTTACATTTTACTGGCACGTTTCCCAGATTGGGACATTCTTGCATGTGAAACAGCAGTATAGGAATCCATCCCCTCCTCAGCACACAGCTCCTTCACTCACTTTCTCACTGACGGCCTTCTGGAGGTCATCCCCTCTTCTTTTAGGAAAGATCTTGAGTAGCCTGTGCCACATTTTAGTTTTAAAGCGCAGGCCCATGGTGAAAGATGGACTTGAATTCATATCCTTTTCTCTACAGTTGCATATTATTACCAGAAATAGTAATGCAGAACAGTCAGCTACTGACAAGGGAGAAGGGGAAATAAAGCACAGCATTCAAGGCTCCGAGCTCCCCCCAAACAGCCACAGAAGGCCGAGGCTGACTGCCTTCCCCAAGGTGAATGCACTTACCAAGGTCCTCAGCCACGCCAACCATTCCAGGTCACTTCACGAAGCACCAGCTGACTACGCAGCCAAGGCAAACACCAACAGATCCCACAAAACGAGAGGGAGAACCGGTTTGCTCAGAGGAGGGCTACTGTCCAGACACTAACCTCATGCTCTGGTGGGAAATTGCTTTCGCCTTGGCAGCTGCCACAGCACTGGCTTAACTCAGCAATTACTCCACTGCAGTCGGTAGCCATAAATTCACCAGAACAGAAGTATGAAACATTTTCTTTGAGTTTCAAATTCTCAAAACACTGAGGAAGGTCAGGACTACAAGAAAGATACCTGGAAGCACCACCAGTTTTGCTGCCATTTTCTGAAGAAGCCTGGAGAGCAAGCTTGGAAACTGCGAGCCTTAAACCCATTTTACAGCAGGGAGAGCTGAGAGTTCCCAGTGGTTTCAGTGACTTGCTCAAGACCAGTAAATGACATGACAAACAGCATCGGGGTGCCATGACACCAAGTTCCCAGTGTCATCCCAACTGAAGACAGGCTGGGGACAGGGAAATTCCAGTTTGCTAACCTAGAACTCCTCCTGCCATTTCAAGCAGATGTCACTCTCACATGGCTCATTGGCAAAACGACATCAAAACCTGCAATGATCTACTTCAGGACGAATGCATTTCAGAGGGGGAAGAAGGAAAAGAGCCTCTGAAATAATCCCTGAACTAGTCTTAAGTTATACAGAAT